ATATATGAGCCTTCGTAAGAAACTGTGTTTATTGAATGTACTTTTATTATTGGAGCCAACATTGAGAGGAGGCGGGGTTGTCTATATTCCCAGTTTCCCATGTAGAAATATGCCATTTCCCAGATTCCCGTTCCTATAATATAGCAATGTCGGCTGTCCCGTGTACGTCCTGGTTGACTGGTTGACCGAATCACGAAAATATCTCGGTCCCCTTGTCTAATCCTGCGTCCCGAAACAACCCCGTCCTTCTTGAGGTGGGCGGATGACCATTTTTAGTAGTTTTAGTGTTCATATAACATACGAGAGAGAGAGAGAGAGAGAGAGAGAGAGAGAGAAAAAAAAGCAAGAAAGAAAGAGAGAGAGAGATCGAGGGTGAGAGAGAAAGAACTAGAGGTCAAGATACAGATAAAGATCGATAGATAGAGGGGTGGAGAGAGAGAGAGAGTTTAATTGTGTGTGTGTGCGTGCGTGCGTGCGTGCGTGTGTGCGTGCGTGCGTGCGTGCGCGCGTGTAGTGTGAGCATTGTTTCACAAAGAAGCGAATTCGGGTTTCGCTGTTATTTTTGTTCATCAATTTACTTCGAATTCCCCGACAGACGGCGGGACGGCGTCATACTCGGACCTTTTTGAGCAAGGCATTTAGAATCGGCAAAGCTAAAGGCCTATTTACAAGGAACATTGCAGGAACATTTTGCCTATTTGCAGGAACATCCGTCCTGTGCATCCGATATCGCAAGGGTCATACATTTGCATTGTCATACACGGTGCGTTTTGGACGTACGTCTAGGACGCATCGTGTTACAAATATAATCAATGTGGGCATTCCAGCGAAGATCGCTACTAATAATTACATCCAAATATTTGTAAGTAAGGGTAATTAACATTAAACGTTATTAAACGTTAATAAACGTTACTAAACGTTATTAAACGTTATTATAACTGATCACCCTTATTGGTGATAGTGCGGTATAGAACTGCGCCGTCAGCAAAGAGGCGAATAGAAGTAGAAAAGTCAGTTTCATCAATATAATTATTAATTAAATATATAATAACAATTATATTCGTCAAATATAATCAATGTGCATGTGCATTCCAGCGAAGATCGCTAATAATATTGAAATATATCGTTATAATATATATAAATATATATAAATATAATATCATGGGTTAATAATGGCATTTTCAACCCCTGATAATATATATATATATATATTATATATATATATAATATATATATATATATTATATATATTATATTGTAGATATTAAACACAAGACATCACTTTTTGCTGTACTCTAGAGTTTCACGCTTGCGCGATCATCAGACAACTTTAATGAATAATAACCTTGTATACATTCCATAATCCATATAAACATGAATACGCTATGTTTTTAAGTTATCTATTGTTATGTAGTTCTTAGTAACTATAGCTCGCGTACGGTTGCCTGCGGAACCAGTACGCGGGCCATACTTACCAAAGTCAGTAGATCAATTTTATATGGGTTGTTCTGCTGGTATATTGTTGTTCGACTTTTAACTTTTTTGTTTGTTTCTAATCTTATTGCCGCTATTTTATACGAAAAATTCAGTCCTACTATCCGTAAATTTCGTCACGTTAAGCCTCCTGTCCGTCCGCAAATTAACAACAATTATGCAATATGCGCACGAGAGCGCGTAAAAGTATCGTGCGAGGAAAACGGTTATTTTACGTTACCCGGTACGTTATATGATTACCGCTCCTGCTCGTAACGGCCGCTAGGGCCTACTCGCTAGAAACGTCACTTGCTAGCTGACGGAAAATATCAACCATAATTAACAAGCACAACAAGAAATAACCAGCGACAAGCCCATCCCCTCCCAGAAAGGATGCAACTGCCGAAACGGAAAAGAACAATGCCCACTCGACAGTAACTGCCTATCAACTAGCCTAGTCTACAACGACATGTAACTACAGAGGAAGACACCATAGGATGAGAACTACATAGGACTTACAGAGGAAATTTAAACAACGTCATACTAAACACAAAGCTATCGTTCGAACACAGAGGATACGCTAACAGCACTGAGTCTCAAAGCAATCTGGCAAACTGAAAAGACGCAAGAAAAATTATGAATCAAATTGAGTCAATCATGCGCTGCAGTATTTCGGCGGACGGTAACGTTATTGCCGCCCATTTATAAGAAAATTCACTATATTTTCGTAAATATCGTTACATAATCTCGTCAGAAAATTATGTATGTGCGAGCATAAAAGATATCGCGTAGGAAAATGCTGTTACGTTAAACGTTACATGCTGCGTACTCCACCGTCGGGCGCCTTCTGATAGAGATGCTGCCGTATCGTAACCTCCTTCAACGTGGCATGACTCTCCTGTATGGCTGTAAGTGCGGCAATGGTCGACACTCACTGTGCGTCGCTGTCCGATGATGTTCTGGCCGTAGTCCATCGACAGATGCGAGAGTTAGCCGTTCGTCAATGTCGTCTGCTCATGTAGCGTTGACCACGTACCGCAGCGGCAGTTGTGATGTTTCTCGCTGGGGTCGAGACTGATGATCTTGCCACAGTGCTTGCACGAGATCGAGGTCACAGTCACCTGTGTGATAGCGTTAACCGTGTGTTAATATGATGAGGATTCTCCAGTTTTCCTGTGCTCTTCATGTTCATTAGGTAATATTTGTTTTCGTGCGGCACTTCGAATTGTTCTGATTTCTATTAAGTAGCCTGGATTTGTCGGCTTATAATATAAAGTTTTTCTGCTAAACAGAGATGCATTTTTTAGAGATGTTGTTGTATGGGCTTGCTGAAGTGATGATTGAGCAATTGATTTATAATTTTTTCTTGTCGTCTTTTCAGTTTCCAGATTGTGCTTTGAGAGCTCAGTGCTGTTAAGGTATTTCTGTTTCGAACGATAGCTTGTGGTTTAGTATGACGTTGTTGTTTAAATGCTTCCTCTGTAAGTCTATGTAGTTCTCTCCTATGGTGTCTTCTCTTGTAGTTACTGTGCGTTGTAGACTAGGCTAGTTGATAGGCGTTACGGTTGTGGTGGGCATTGTTCTTCGTTTTCGGCAGTTGCATCCTTTCTGGGAGGGGATGGGGTTTTGTCTGGTTATTTTCTTGTTGTGCTTGTTAATATGGTTGCTATATTTTCCGTGGCAGCCTAGCAAGATGCGTTTCTAGCGAGTAGGCCCTAGCGGCCGTTACGAGCAGGAGGCGGTAATCATTTAACTGTACGGGTGACGTAAAATAACGCGTTTTTCTCGCACGATACTTTTACGCGCTCTCGTGGCATATTGCATAATTTGGTGTTAATTTGCGGACGGGACAGGAGGCTTAACGTACGAAATTTACGGATAGTAGGACTGAATTTTCGTATAAATAGCGGCAATAAGATTAGAAACAAACAAAAAAGTAAAAGTCGAACACAATATACAGCAGAACCCCATTAAATATTTGATCTTCTGACTTTGGTAACTATGGCCCGCGTACGGTTTCCGCAGCAACCGTACGGAGCTATAGTACTAGAACTACATAACAATAGATAACTAAAACAATAGCGCTATCATGCTTTATATGGATTATGGAATGTATACAAGGTTTATTATTTCATTAAATATGTCTGATGATCGCGCAAGCGTGAAACTCTGAGTAACAGCAAAAAGTGATGTCTTGTGTTTAATCTATTACACATATATTACGCTCTGCAATTAAATGCATTGAGCACTCTACAGCAGTGATAGCAAAGCATACAGATGTATATTATATATATATATATATATATTATTTAATATATTTACTAGATGGTAGATCAGTCAGGGCGGATCCAGAGGGGGCGTCGAGGGGGTCCGGTACCCCCCCTGTTACCACAAAAGGAAAAAGCATACACAACACGACGCACGCACGCACCCGCACGCACGCACGAACGCCTCGTGCGCGCACACACACCACACACCAGCGCACACTTCTCTTATATTAGCCGCGTGTCACACGGAGCGGAAGGAACTCGGGTCGAAACGAACCGTGTCAAATGCGTCCCGGGACGAGCGTTCACACGGACGTTTTCTTGGTACGAAAACGACTCGAGTCGAAAACGAGCTCGAGTCCTGGTTCATTTTTGCGTGTGAACGCGCGACTCGGGTTGGAATTAGTACGTCACAACACGAAAGTAAACAGAATAGTTGGAAGCAAAGGTTGGAAGTCAGTCAGAAGGAGTTTGATTGTTTAATTCGCATTGTTCGCTTGGACGCTTGTACTTTTTTCTCAGCTCGCATCTTTCGCATAGCGTATCGTGTGACGCTCTCTCTCAACGAGCGCTCCGTGTCGATTTCTCGACACGCGGTTCGTTTTCGACCCGGTTCCTTTTGCTCCGTGTGAACGCGGCTATTGTCCTCATAGAAAAAATCTTGTTTAGCGCTAGTTTTCTGATAAAGATTTACTTATAGATATGTAAATTCGTTATGAAAAATTAGAAATAAGCTAAGAGGGGTCCAGGGGGACCGGATCTGATAAATTTTTGCATTCTAGACATCAAAATTGATAAATTACTGCCTCAAGATGCTCTTCGAGATGCACGCAATTAAAAAATAATAAATGGCCTTCGGAACCTAGAAAAATTAAGAGGAAAAGTGCCCCTTTATTTCTTCCTGACACTGTCATTTTTCAAAAATTCCTGATCCGCCCCTGAGTCAGTCGGTCCCGGCTGATCTTATTTTTGATATATCTGAGATTTCGCGGTTCAGAGATTACGCGTCCCGAAAATAACTGTTCCTATTCATTGTCCGTGTGATATCTGCTTTACCGGAAAATTTATTCGAAACAACATTTAATATACCAATATCAAATATTTTTAAAGTGTAGTCGTGAAATAGTTATATTATAATCTATTATTAGTGTTATTTTCTGCGTAAAATGTCTATTCTGTTGGGATCTATATTTCGTTGCGGTGTTTTCCATGTTGCTAAGGCGTTATTTGGCATTCGCCATTGCGGTTCTAATCGCGCACAAGTGTGTTTCATCCTCATAACGCTGTGGCATTATCGTAAATATGAATGTTATACAATGCGAACAACGTTATGCAAACATTGTATTAGATTACAAGTATCTCTCAAATAAAAAGATCACAATGTAGATTCTCCCGGCGTCGACTCAGCGCTACAACTACAAGTACAAGTTACAAGGTACAGTTACTGCATGAGTTAGCTCCAAGAAACGGTATTGCTAGGGTTAGAATACCGTACTGTACTGTAGTCTGTATATTGACGTTAGTCACACAGCCTGGTCGGGTTAGGTACAGTAGTCAGTAGGCTAGACTGAGTGTGTACAGTGTAGGCTTTAGGCGTGACTAAGAGCACAGGCCATTGGAACGTTTCAATTTAAAAAAATAATGGTAAATAAACACGAAATGTATTTACTACCACTACCAGTCTTAATGTTTCTCTACTCTATTTCGCCTATTTATATTGCCGATAATTATCCGTAAATGCCGGTCAAATGCTCATCTGCAACACACAGTCACAAGTACACCGCACGCCCGCCCTGTGCACAAACATCATGAATAAGAGAGCAGGTAGGAAAGCGTGATTGCAAAATTCGCTCGACGCTCGCTTCATTTCACACGACTACAGAACAGAAACACAACAAACAGCCTCCATCTTGGTATCTATCTGTAGCTAAATGTCCACTTGTTCGAATTATAACTCTGTCTTTTGTTCTTACCTACTCCCGCTAGAGATATCTTGTGAAATCATGCAGGAAATGTTCTCTCCGTGAAAATGTAAGGAGGACGAGATGTCTGTTTATACGCGAGTAATGGCGGCGCATTGCATGCCGGGATGAGCTGCTGCCTGCCTCCGAGCTCCGTTTCGAGGCCCGCCAAGCCAAGCATAATGCGCGCGCCGCGCGGGCATGACATCACACACACACGACTACAGCGATCGGTTGGAAGTAGCGCCGTTAGGGATTTTCAGATGATACGTCCTCTTTACATTTTCACGGCTCCCGCACACGGTGCATATTCGGTGAGCGCCAATGGCGCTGTGCTAAACGCGCGCACCGAATGCGCACGCAAACGGTGCACATTCGGCGCTGAGCCAATAAAATCAAACGTGATAGATATTTTGCTCGCATGCGCTAACGGCGCACCGTGTGCGGGGGCCTTAAGTAAGGCTGATAGGGTCTATGTCCCCCAGGGTACTGCCGGAACGTACCCTGGTACTAAATACTACTATCTAATATGCCGGACCGTACCTCGCCTACTCCACTAACGAGTCTAGGGAGCCGCCTACGCCGTGCAGAAACTACGTGGAGCGAAGGGGCCACACGGCTAGAGCTATATGGCATTATGTATATGGTACGCAATTCTATTGCTGCATGCAGATGCATGTCCCTGGTAACATGCTAAACCCATTTTACAGCCACCTCGAGCTGGAGTTGCCTCGATTTGGGCCGAAAGATACTGCAGGGTTACAATATCGTATCTGTAATAGTTGTGGGATGGTAAACGTAAAACCAACATAAAATAAATAAACAATTCATTAATTTAAGGATGTGTAACAGCATTGATGCTATATATATATATATGGCAGTGTGTATGCCCCACAATCCCTGTTCATGTTGTCTGCGTGTTTGCGAATTTGGATGGAGATTACTTATGTACCTAGAAGAAAGCTGTCCTCATCCAGAATCTTGACTCCAGATTACGCAGGAACATGATAATGTTTACCTGTGTGATCCGTGTTGGCTGACTTATGTAGCTTTCCATGTGGCAGAGATCTGGGTGCAGAGTGCTGGCACCAGTACGAGGGAACATCACTATTACCAACTGACTCACCTTTATTATCAGTCACATTGTTAGATTTGGGTGGTTCAAGTACTGATCGACCTGAAGGCCCAAAAATTATCTGAAATTGTTTGCCGTTTACGCTCATCTTCTTTCCGTACAGCTAAAGTTTTTGTAAACTACAGTTTCATATTAATGTTACTGTTGTTGGCTCGTTGCTGTTGTCGAAGCAGTGAAAATGTATAAATCGTTACTTCGAACTACCAGAGACTAATGAGAGTCTTTACGCTGTATTTCGCAGATGCCTGATGAAGACATTCATCGGCAGTTTAGTCGCAAGACTGGATGGTCATGGCCTCCACATCCCCTCCAGATTACTGCGTGGTGCTTCATTGCCTACTTTGGTGTCGTGTACTTTGGAATCATGGTTCCCACACTTGCAGTTGAATGGCAGCCAGCTGGTTACATTGTATCCTTTCATTGAATGTATGTTAGCAAATTTCTCTGAGAGCTTAATTATGAATTATCTTACAATTACATACTACTCATCTACTTCCGATATATAGTTCAGCAAAAAATTTACCCTAAGAACTTGCTATTAACATGGGCTATCATCATGTACCTTCTAGTTTCATTACAATAAGTATAAATAAGATGAGACTGTTGTTTATTATCAGAGGCGTGTTATCTGTCTCTTGCCTTGCCCACAGCTGTTGACCTGTTAAAGTGTCTTTATTAAATTGACCAATATCATCTGTGATTTTCCCGCCTTTTTCTTCTTACCATAATTACAGGCAAAAATATTAGATATTTTCATGAATAAAAAAAATAGACTGTTGCTAAACTTTATAGGGTAGTGTCTGCAATTTGTTTTTATGAGATCGTAAGCAATAGGCTTAATGAGTATTTTTAAGCAATAGTATAGCTGTATCATTGGTTTGTTAGAGTCTAATTAGACATTTAACTACGGAGCATGAACCCATGAATTAAAACGTTATGGTAATCATATATGTATGATCATGTGTACCAGGGACTATCCTTAATATTTGCTGCTTCAGATTAATGGCTTCCTCTTTGCATCACATATCATAGTCACTATACTGAGTTGTAGCCTCAACCCAGCTGATCCCAACTTGAGACGACGCAGCCCGAACAAGCCCATGCCCAAGTTCGATCGTACAAAGCACAAGCATGTCATCGAGAATAACCGTTGCTACTTATGTGAAGTAGATGTGTGAGTACATAGAATCATTGATTTTTTTGGCCTGGTGCACTACTATGCGTGAGTTTCTGCCTTTTCAAAATCGGCATAAAATGAAGTAATGAATCAATGTGTCATGTCTGACTCTTAAGTCCGGTTTGATGCAGACACGTCTAGAATTCGGAAAATCCGAATTACCAAGTATTTACGTAGTGCTTCGAAATTGGCAATCAGAATATATTTTCCTGATACTCACTCGGACTTTGTGTGTAAAGCCAGACAGTTAATCTATTTGATGTGGCACATACTGAGCACTGTATTTTTTAGCTATTTCTAGCTTGCTGGCAAAGCTTTCAGTAATATGTGCATGCATCTGTGCGTGTCTGTGTGTGTGAGTGTACATGTGAGTATACGGGACTGGGTGCTGTGTATATTTTTGTTATATCTGGCTGTAGAAAATACCAATGAATAAAAACCAACACATTCTGCTGAAAAGCAATGTTGTCCACTGAGCTATGCTGCCACCTAGCGTAAACACTGTTTCTTGCCACCATTTGTGCCACAATGTGCAGAAAAAGAACATTTGAACCAATTAATAAAGACAGGATATCAGAACTGATAGTGATAAAACATTAGTGTGGTAAAACACCCAGAATGTTAAAAAAACAACTTGATTATAAGATCCTGTACTACGAGATCTACTGAACCCCAAATTATTGTCTTTCGCAGTTGGCACTGCAACTTGTTTACAATTTGTAGGGCCTATAGAGTGTCGGACTATTGTAGAGTTAAGTCGAACTGGATTGTGATATATTTGTTATATGACTATAAAAATACTACTACATAATCGGTGCAGAGCAGGCAGGGAAAAAAATATAATTTATTTTTCGGGGGCTACTTTTCAAGCTCGCGTGCATGAAAATAGCACTCTAAAATTTGGTTTGCATTGAACTCTATGCAAATTTACAAGGGCTCTATTTGTCATTTCCGGGGCTCTTTTTGGCATTTCGGGGGCTAAATCGCCCCGAGCCCCCGTGTATTTTTTTCACTGAGAGCAGGTCACGTGCCATGAAACATAATTTTATGTTTGCTCCAGTCTTGAAATTTGTGTTTACCTCTAATTTCCCTTCATCAGAACAAGGCAAAAATAAAACAACTATTAGACTTGGATGTACCAGCGCATATTCAAATTGAAATTACGTATATGATGCAGATACTATCACATTACGTGGACAAAATTATATTAAAATACTCACAGACTATTCACAAAGTTGTATCATAAAATTCGAGAACAACAAATGCTGTGTGCCAACATTTAAGGATAGACTCAGGGTTATGGACATGTACCTCTCAAAAGGGCAATACAACATAACTACTCATCATATCCAATCAAACACCATCTACACACGTCGATAGCCTACGCTGACAACATAATTAGAAGTTGTGTATTTAAAGTGGCTAATCCTCGCAAGAAAATGCATAAATACACCTACTGCGAGCATACTTGCAGTAAGAAAACATCACAAAATGTTCTTATTAAGCCAGAAATGTGCTCCGAGGTAGAGCATTTTGAAAACATTCTCGGAGAAAGTTTTGGCGTATAGATACACATAAATTGCTGGTAAGCAAAATGACCGAGAACGCGAACAGTAGGCCTACACTAGCGCAAATAGTTCCTGGAAAGAAAACACTATATTTGTTTGCTGATTGCATTATAAGTAATGTAGTTAACATGTGATTTAAACAAATTTCACAATTTTGTACTAAACAAACGAATATTAAATTATAACTGTTTGGGATACCATATACATAATTATCTATACCTACATAGCTGCCCAGAGGCACCATCTATCAAATAAAATGGGTGTTAAAATTTTGACCAAATTTCCCCCAACAACCCTGAGTCTATCCTTAAGAAACACGTGCTGACATTCGTGTTCATCTATATAGAAATCACTCTTTCAGAGGTTTCCCTATTATGCACTGCCTCCTTGACACACGATTCAATGCATCCGAACTCGTTCATCATACATTTGTATAAACTCCCACATAACATGCTTTCTTAGGCCTGCAATGAATATGCTCTGGACAAACCAGTGATGTCTCTGGCAGTGCTGTCCAGTGCGGGTGCTACTCGTTTTCTGTTGGCTGCTAATAGTGCTATTCCCATTTCAGTGGACTTGTTGAGCATAAAATTTGTGCTTGGCCCTTTGTGTGCCCACACTGATACGTGACATTTACAGTCCTAGTATAACATCAATGCCTGCGTTCGAAGGACGTATTCCATTGATCTTGCTCCCTGTGTTAACAGCGTGTTACGTAGCTCCATTTACAAGTGTGAAGCTCTACACGATAGTTTACAGTGTTGCAAGCTGAAGTTAGGCTGGTGGTGTTGCACGCTTTAATTCTTTCTTCTGTTAGTGACGCTCATAGGGTCTATGTCCCCCCAGGGTACTGCCGGAACGTACCCTGGTAACTATCTGATATGGTTAGGGTTAGGGAGTAGGCGTAAGCGACTCCCTAGACTCGTTAGTGGAGTATGCGAGGCAGTATACGGTCCGGCATATTAGATAGTACCAGAGTACGTTCCGGTATACCGGACCGTATCCAGGGGGACATAGACCCTCTCAGCGTTAGTGACTTAAACGTGTTCCACACTTCCCCGCATATTTTCGTTCCTCGTCCTATAACGGATGAAACATGTTGCATTCAACTAATTACGAAATAGTATAGGTCCACCACTTATTTTATTTAGCACATTTCCTTGTACAGTTGTGCCAAATTTAGTGCTTTTATTACAATTTGGGAAATCAGATAAAGATGTGTCGTCTTTGTCACTGCGTGTTATGTGGCAGCATAACCTAGTGATGATAATATCTTCTGTGGTGCTGGGTAATCAGATCAGAATAAATATATGGATAAAGATTTCCTGGCAGTATACTATGGTCTGTTAAGAAAATTATAATACACTAAAAACCAATGAGGAGCCATGCAAGTTTTATGATAAACATCATTGATAACCATCCATCTGTTTATGAATTTACTACTTAATAAGTCGTGGTGGGCCCTCAGTTATTCATCACTTGAACATATATAAAGAGTAAATGTTTTTGACTTGCAGTTCAATTTGACTTTGACTTGTTTGATTCCAGCCACAAGGGGTCAAAACACTGTTCAGCGTGCAACAAATGTGTCTATAAGTTTGATCACCATTGCAAGTGGTTGAACAATTGTGTTGGTGGAAGGAATTACAGGTGAGACATTTACCCCTTACTTATAATCAACTGTTTTGTTTAGAGTTTTTAGAATAAAAAGTAAATACCTGTAACACAATATTCCTGGTCGAAGATTCTCTTTCTTAAAATTGGATCTAGACTGGGCCAAGAATCTTGTGGCCAGACAAACAATGTGCATGCTTAAGTACGTATATGTGTGTGTGCGTGCGTGCGTGCGTGCGTGCGTGCGTGCATATGTTTGAATTTTGTTTTACACAATATCAAGTTTTGCATCACATTCAGGGTAACATTGCTGTTTTTATTTTATTTTTTATTTATTTATTTATTTAGACAATTATCCATCATATACAATACATTCTACAATAAAATTTTGAATTCATAAAATTGGATAATTACCAAGGATATATACACAAAAAGCATGACTAGCACACTTATTTACATTGTGGTCCTTGTTTTGCTATGCCTTGAATCTAACAATTACACTACTATTAGCACTAACTATTGCAATATACAGATTTTTAGTTTAAATTGGTCATACAATGGTACATTGACTTTGGTTGACAATGGTTGACTTTGTTGTACAACTGGAAATCGCTATTTCTGCACTGGGCAAGTCTAAAGGTGATCACAGTGATAAAATCGACTGTGCAGACAGAATTAATGAGTAAGAAGAAGGGCTCTGTTATTATTATGTTCTGAGAGTTAGCAATGTTACAAAATATTTCGTCATTGATATGAATTCTTTCTGTTAGGACAGAGTTAATTGAATCTCAGTCTATTTTGGATATTCCTTTAATACAGTTACAATTACAGCTGGTGTAAAGTGAGGCATCATTATGTCCATATCATGTGTCATTGTCCCTTTATAAAGGTTTGCATCTGTACGCGATTTTGGCCAGATCAGTTGTGTGCAATCGCTTGATAAATTTGTTCATTGTCATTTCCTCTATCACGGTTCATTTGTAATTGATAATCAGTTCACTGAAGTATCATAAGAGGGTGATATTTTTTGAGAAATCGAAATGAAGGAATCAAGGCAATTAATTGGATGCAGTGATAGTTCATGTGTCGTTCGCAGCTAGTAGAGAGTAATATTTAAGTCCGTCTGTATTGCAAGCGTTCGGTCGATTGCCAACAGCTGTTTGCAATCAGATATGGTTATGCGATACTAGTACGTTGTGAGACGTTGTAGTAGAGTGCACTGGTGGTGTTTTACGTGAATACTCGGCGTAATGCACCTTCTGCAGAGAGTGCAGATTTACGCATTTCAGTAAAATTGCATTAGCAGCCAAGTGCTGCAGTGTTATCAGTAGTGTTGAGAATGTGCGAACCTAACACTGCAGGCGTAGTATCTAGTTTGTTCCATGGCTACACTTGCAACAACCATCCTGAGCAGTGAGTGTGCAATAGAAGATTGCTGTCAGGAGTTGTGTTTGGATGAATGGTGGTTGTCATGACATATATGTGATCCAAAAGGAAATGAAAGTGAAGAAACAAATCGCCCCTCCCTACTACCCCTTCCTCTCTCTGTTCCTACCACTCCCTCCATACCTTCCTCCCCTTCTTCCACCCACTCTCTCACACCTCTCTCATGCTCTCTCTGCCTCTTTCTCTCTGTGTCTCTCACTCTCTCTCTCTCTCTCTCTCTCTCTCTTTCCCTCTCTCTCTCCCCTCTCTCGCTCTCTCTTTTTTACCCCCTCTCTCTCTCACCGACTGGTGCTCCCTAGCCTCTCTCTGGCTGCCTCCCTTTTTCTCCTTCTCTTTATATATATTCTTCTCTCGTTGTAGAAATACTACAATAGTACATTTATCACTAAGTAAGGTCCTTTACTAATTTATCTTTACCAGTAAACACATCAATAGGAATATAGATAAATTGTCAATAACATACAAGTTTATAGCGCAATGAATATATATGATACCCCCGACAATATGGTCCCGGGGCGTATGATGGTGGTGTATAATTGTATCCCCCGCGACGAAGTCGGCGGGGATACTATGGTTGTTTCATGTCTGTCCAGCCGCCGCCGCCGCAGATAGTAGGGAAACTGCAGTTAGAAACTATAGGACGTCCTGGTGTATCAGGCTTATGTATTTTTGGGAGCATGTAAAATCTGGTCGCTTTAGGTGTTTCAACAAGAAGATTAGAAGCCTCTTTTGGAAGATCGTTATTACTAATCAATGATGTAATTAGGTTTTTGACAAGAATTTGAATTTCAGGAGTGTTTGAATCACAGGCAAGTTTGGAATAAAAATTTTTATCCGAAAGTTGTTTATCACCTTCCCGAATGTAGAGACCTCGGCTCCAGACAACAACAGCTCCCCCTTTATCAGCAGGTTTAATTACGATGTCCTGACGATTTCGAAGGGATCGGATCGCTGCAAGTTCCGTGGTGGTAAGGTTAGACGATCGAGCTCTGCGTGGATAAGAGAAGTATTTGGCAACTTCTTGACGGCTCTTCGAGATGTAATAATCTAGAGCTGCGAAGCGACCTGTTTGCGGGGTCCAAGTAGAAGGGGTCTTGTACTTGCGGAAAGGATTGTCACATTTCTGGTCAACAAGCTCATCATCAGCAGCGTTCGACTTCATAAAATGAGCTCTAAGGCGAAGCCGGCGGAAGAAACTCTCCACATCTCGCATGGTATTGTACTGATCTATTTGAGGTTTGATTGGAACAAAATTCAAACCTTTACTTAAGACGACACGTTCAGATTCATCCAGTGGGAGTTCAGGTGGAACACATACGACGAGCTTTTTGTTGTGATAATTTGGATTCTGAGGCTCTTGTCTAGACGATAAAAGTTTATCGAGTTTGGCATGTTTCTTCTTGTTTAAATGATCATACCAATCACTATTAGCAAAGTGAATTCTTCGACGAATTTGATGGAAAATCGACATATTCGATTTACAAGTTCTTTTTAGAGATTGCAGTGACGAGAATATTTCGGCGTCACAGTCTTTAATTTTACGTTCATTCTCTCGTAACTATGATTGAATGCATACATTAACTATGATTGAATACTTTACACGCCGTGGCTATAATCAATCTGATCTATCTAAGAAATTAAAAAAGATACATCCCTTAAATCGGGCGTCGTTAATAACCCCTAGAAAAGACGGCGTGAATAAGACATCAGACAGATGTCCATTGGTTTTAACTCATCACCCTTCAATCCTGCACATCAAAAGTTTGTTAATTGATAATTATAAAATTCTTCAAAACGATCCAATCACTGCTTAAACATCTTTTCAAACCCACTTTTATGCTCTTACAGACGTGATACCAACCTCCGCGACACTCTTGTTTCAATATAAGCACCGTTTACAACTCTGACAACCCCGTAAGCCAACCTGGCTCATACCCATGTTGACGGAAACGATGCAGTACTTGCAATTTTATCACGAATAGGTCTGTGGTTCAAGGACCTCGGGGCAAATTTATAGTACGGGATTCATTTATATGCGTGTCGACGAACCTCATCTACGCCATTAAATGCGTTAAATGCCAAATTTACTATATTGGCGAAACAAAACGCCGCCTTGCGGATAGGTTTGTTGAACACCTAAGATCTATTCGCCCCATATTTACATGGTTTTCCGGTTGCTGACTATTTTAATCAACCGAATCACCACCATGATGACGTGCGTGTGTGTGGCTGCCAACTGACACCATGCATATTACAATAGCTCACGTCGACACATGACTGAGCAGAAATTAATTCTGAGGGTTGGTTGTTTTGTACCGAAACCAGGTCACTGCAACCTTTATTTGACATTGACCTTGACCTTCATTATATTTCCCTTCCGCTCTATAACTCGGCCCCTAATTGACCTAGCGTGACCAAACTTGGTATACTTACACTTCTTGGGGAGAAGGTGTGTCGCGTACTGAAACCATGTCACTGCAACCTTTATTTGACCTTGACCTTGACCTTGACCTTTATCATATTTTCCTTCTGCTCTATAACTCGGCCCCTAATTGATCTAGCGCGAGCAAACTTCGTATACTTACACATCTTGGGGAGAAGGTGTGTCGCGTACCAAAACCCCTAAGGCAACCAATTTTAACATACTTGCACATCTCAGGCAGTGTCTTGTCTTTGTGACTTATTTAACTTTACCTACCTTCTACGTCCTTACAGAGATATTTCATTCATACTAGATCATGGGGGATACATGTAGTTGGCGACAACTGCCCTTAGTAGTTATATATACGTACTGACAGCTCCTACTCCGGTGGTAACCATTCACTGCTTTAAATTGAAATATCTCCTCTTTGCGAAATCACTCAATGCTGTATGAAAAGTTCTAAGTTTGTGTAAGTTGTAATCTCGGTTTGGGCATAGCACGTGGCCGGTTGTAATTGAAAATTAAGGTCTAGTGAAAGGTAGTTAAATGACATGATCAGGATTGAGTGGTGACATATTGTTGTTGACATCGCAGTGATATCGCCACGGCCAGAATGTCCAGGAGTGACCAAGAGTTAGGGCTAGCTTCTCCAGTTCAGTGAATCCTATCTTTAATAATCTAATATATGATTAATATTGTTTATTATCAAAAAAGTTGCAATGAATTACAAAACTCATCACGAAAACACATCCCTTGCGTTAAATCCTGGTTTTCATACAAAAATAGAAATACTCGCAATCTCTCAATATTCTACCGTGCACATATATGGCATGTGACAGCATGCGAGCATTCATGTACACGTGTACATGTTGTGTATTTTCAGCCTGTTCATCACGTGCGTCGCGACGGCATTTGTCGGCGGCCTCGTCATTCTCGCCGTGTGCCTGGTGCTCTTTATAGGCTACTTTGTCAATAAGTGGCGCATCCTTCAGCCTTACAGAGGTAGGTGATGCAGTTCCCATTCGGCTGTAGAACAGTTCTAGGGTTTTGTTCGTTTTACAATGGTTAGCTGTACATTAATACCCAACATCATGGAAGGCATGAGTTTCATGAAAAGCATATGTAATGAGATTCACGTTTTTCCATTGACTTACGTTTTGTGTGATTGGCAAGGAGGTTTTTTTAAGTGATATGATTGAAATAATATATCACAAAGTTCATTCGAATAAAAGAAATTTCACTTCAATAAAAAGAAGTGTTCATTTGAACAGGGAATTTTTTTTTCGAACAAACTTTTGACATGTTTTCACTTATGTCCCGCTAAATACTCCGGAGATTTGTGATGCGTTCCTACAAAAAAACATTGGCCAGAGAAGTAGGTAATCTACTGGTGTTCTGTAATACAAGCACAAATGTGATTGCAAGTAAACTTTGTCAAATTACATTTACAGGTTCACAATTCCTTATCATAAACCCTCAGACCAGATCTGTGTCAGAATTTGGAGTTTTTCGGATTTATGAACGATAACACAATATATGTATTGTATATTACTCATAATATGCAAATATACACATACATGTACATGTCAGCAATCTCTTATCCTAAACCCTTGGGCTTGATGCGTTTCGGTATTCAGGGTTTTTCAGATTTCAGAATGGCAGCAGAATGTGTGTGTGTGTGTGCGTACGTGCGTGCGTGTGTGTGTACTGTGTATTATGCATATGCACATCACATACACACAGATACAGGTCTGCAATGCCTTGTCCGACATCCTTAGGCCAGATCTTTGTGTTTCCGAGTAATAAGCTATGTGAATTTAGTAATAATAAACGTTTAGTAATACTAATAGTACATTAGGTATGAGCTTTAGATATGGCACTAGCTGGGTGGTGGTGTGGTCAGGGTGAAAGGTAAGTGAAAGTGTAATGAAATGGCTTCTTTCCACTGATTGTCTTTACTGCAGTTAGTGCATACTAATGAGGAATTGCCAAATGCCTTTATGGTGCACCATTGACACCCTTTAAATAAGTATGTTCCTTAATTGATCAACAACTTAATAATGGGTAAACATTACCTGGCACAGTTATGCACAGGAATCATTTTAAATGGTATAATAAATGTCCTCCCTGTATAGATATATTATATTAGAGTGCAGGCAATGGTTCTGTATATTGTTGATGCTAGAAAGCTGAGTATTACAGTTGATTGTAATAGGTTTATTTCTGGCATTGAGGTATAGTATACCTATATGATTACAATATAAACGAATAAATGAGGAGAGAAGCTACACCAATTAAGTTGCATGTTAACTCGCTAGTGCACAAGCCAATTTGCATTAATTAGCATTGCTGATCATGAGTAGAGCTTCCAGCCGTTGTTGATGACGGAGATGACAGACCGCGCTGCAGCCATTGGATTTTAATTCTGTCATACTAGGATAAGCCATGTATCATTTGCAGATCTTTGTGACCCTGAAGCGGCCACAGTGATTGCGGAAACATCTACTGCCATAGGTGAACAATGGAGCACAGAGTTATCAGAATCGTTTTCTTCCACGAGGCAGATTACCTGCAATAGCACTACTTGTAACTGTAAGTTATTTACCTCTTGTTTGCAATTCATGTTATAGTATATGAGTGGCATAGTAAAAGAGGAAGGGAAGAGAGGCAGAGAGAGGGAGGGAGAGGGAGAGATGGAGGGAGCGAGTGGAAAGATATAATACCATAAGACAACTGGAGATTTATTGTGATCACATAACAGTTTGCAATAATAGTTGAAGTGTATATTTACACAGTTGAATTTGAAGTAGAGTCATAATCACTATAAAATATAGAATAGAGAAATAACATACAATTATACATGTATAATTTGATGTAATTAGGGGATTACAGTCATTAGTCTAGTAAGCACTGTCATCCATCTTACCAATTTCGTTTGGTTTAATCTATCAAAGAATACATTTACCTTACTCCGTGTA